GAAAGACGCGGTGTGGATTAAGAGCAGGTCATTTGTGCCACGCAAAGTGCCAAACCGTTTTTTACGTCTATTGTGATGTTGAATGCAAGTACCATTAAACACTCCCAACCATCGGATTATTACAGCGGATCTCTTTGTTCGCCTTCCACCTTGCGTTTCGTAGATTCATAGTGGAAAACTTTGATGTGTGCACAAGGGAAATCGGAATGCTCAACTGTTTTCTTCATATAAGGAACAATAAAATGTACTTGGAGTCAGTCGCGTAGGAGTTGTCTACAATTGAACATGCTGAAGTCTTCACTCCTGTTTACCTCGTCATAAAACGAGGTTGAGAAATTGTATCCATTGCAAATTTTGGCCTGGGTACTTCACACAAATAAAATGCAATGGAAGTGTGTTTACCAATTAAGTGTCGGGATGAAGCGCTTAACTTCTGAAACGACAATCGTACACCTACCTTATGCTGTCGACTTTAGGACACTTAATAACTTGGTCACCTAGGCTCATCGAATCGTTCAACTTTATCCTGAATGAGGACTTATGAAGTCTGGATTACTAAGGTTGTACTCATATTTCATTCTTCTGTGCATGCCCACAGTCTCGTTGCCTTTCTGTAACCTAACGCAAAATTGTAGTCTCTTCTAAGGCTATGCCTTAATAGAGCATTGATGAAGGCATGAGCGCTACCTTGGCGACAGCGGTATACAGACGAGATCAAAGTGAAATGGTCTGGCTTAATTTGCGAGTTGCCCTCCTCCCTTCAAGCAGAAGATTTGAGATCTGATGGGAGTGACCGAATACGCGGTGTCCGCATTTTTCCTGTCCTACTTAATCAAAGTTTGTAGAGAGGGGTTTATTTCCTGAGTGAGGTAATAAAATTGCAAGAAATGCTTGTCATGTAACGACAAACATAAATACCCACGTTACTTTTAAGTTAGTACTACCATGAAACAAATTAGCATCATAGAGTTCTCAGATTTATCACTCATCATTTTCCCCATCCTACTAAGTTCGATAAAGAAGTTGAACGTTAAGAAGTCTGTACGAAAATTGTAACATATTTTCGTGTTAATGTTCCCTTTGGGACATCTGATACGTCAATTAAAATACTTGCAGTAATGTACATAAAAGGAGAGGGGTCCGCATATCGACACTGATTCCTAAATCTCAGCCCTCCAAGTGTATGGGTAGCCTTTTGCGTTTCTTTCAGTAATATCGGGATACACTAGTGTGAAAACTTGGAGCTCAAACAGAATAAAAATTTGTCCCGAATTTTGCAAATAATCTATCGAATGAACACGACTGAGTACAAACACTCACATTGCTCATTTTGAGCCGGAAAGTATCAATATTACTACAAATCATTTATTCGAACATTTAAAGTTGTAGCCCATAAAACGAACGCGAATGCTTTAATTTTCTTAAGTAAATATAATAAAAACAATAAAAAATAGGTCCCGATATATGGATGGGATCAAATCTGAGGACAATATTTCGCATAAATACGCTGTTCTTTCCCCTGATCATCCAGGCTAAAGGACATAAAGGACACGGCGCCCTTTTTCAGCTGATCACCCAGGAGACACCAACTGGTAGTCGAGGCACGCTGTTTACAAAAATTTTGACGACTACACGTCCCACACCCGGTCCAGAGTGCTTACAATGACCCCCTTTCTGGATCTTTCTTTTCACGACTTGTGGTAAACAGCTTATGAGTTGGATGTCAGAAACTGACGTTAGAAGTCATGATCACATCCCGACAAATCATTCATTTTCAAATGACGCATCATCAATT